TATCTATGTAAGTGACAAATGCCTATCAATTTTCTTCCTGGTCGTCATATGCGAAAGGCCCTTAAGAAATGCGTCTAAATTCGCAAAATACACATTTCTAATTTTGAACAAGTATAAGTAAGTGGTAGGCTATTGTGAATCGGAATGAGTGGTTTTGAAGGGGCAGTTCTTGTATGCTACTTTTCGATGTGAGACCTTTTTTTTGAAACCTCATTTTCTGCCCGGATTCAGTTTTTTCCCATTATTTGCTCCCTTTAAGTACCTAAGGAATTAATGATCAGGAAAAAATTCTCCTGTTAATGGTCAGCAACATAGAAAAAGAAACAAATATACAGGGTGGGTCTTTTTAAAATGCTTACTGTACCGGATTCTTACGTGCGGACGGGTTGCATACTCCCACGTCGCCGTAAGGCGCCCTGGCGAGCGATGGTAGGCAAGCCCGCCCGCACGCGTGAATCCGGGACAGTATAACACTGTTAAAAATATTTCATTACATTTTTATTACATGTTGTGAAGCTATTTCCATTAGATTTTCGTAATGATATTTAATAACTTTTTCATTACGTATCGTTAAATTTCCTTACATTCTAATCTTTAACAGTGAAGCATTTTAAAAAGACGGCGCGGATCACCCACCCTGTATACAGAGTTTGGGCAAGATCGGGAATTTACACTTGCTTTGTAAGGGATGGTCACCCGTACCCATAGGGTACTTGGTGATAATCGTCACATATCTCATCGAGGACTTTTTCGGTACGTCCTTACAGATTCGCTGAAGGCTTTTCCAGTTTCTCCAAGCCTTTCCTAGTGTTAAAAATGTGGAAATTTCAGCAAGAGGGGTGGACAATGACGTTATTGCAGTCCTATAGTAGTGTAGCAATGAAACAGGCACTTCACTTAACTCTTATTGCCCACGTTAAACCACAAGACTTTCGATGGGGTACCTGACATCAAACATTTTACTCCTTCGAGGGAGTGGGGATTGGTTGTTTTTCGGAGGAGGCAGACGCGTTCCAAAAATCCCCAAATTGGTTCCTAGGAAACCCGCACATAGACGAGCTGGTACACACGCCTGTTCGCAACAGTACGAATGCCCTAGTCGTAGCGTGCATGGTAGCGGAGAGTCGTCCCCCTACTCCACGCTTCATTTACGGAAACACCTCACAGCCTTGAACTCTACAGAACTGCCCCGTACTGCCGAGAGGTCGCACGGGGTGCATAGGGACCGCGGGACGCGAGTGTACGTGCACCCGCCCGCCGTCCGGAGTAGAGAAGGGAAGGGAAGCTGGGCTGGAGTCGGTCGGAGAGGGTGGGGCCCGCGCGGTCGGGCCCGCCCGGTGGGCCCCGGCAGCCCTGTGGGCCCCGGTAGGGCCCGCTGGCGCGGTGGGGCGCGGTGGAGCCCGGTGGAGGGAGGGGGGGTTGCTGGCATGGTGGAGGGGGCAGCGCCAGCCGCGCCAGCCCTCCCCACTAACCCAAATACGGCAACCAACTCAGCCCAGCCATGCCAGCCGTGCCATTCCGCTATTGATTCTGCGTGGGAGGTGCAAGAGGGACGGAGACAGACAGACAGACAGACAGACAGACAGACCAGCATTGCGTTGACCACACGTTCGGCCTAGAGCCCGGCCGCCTGCCTGTCCGGTTGGTCCGGCCACTTTCCTGCCCGGCACGGCCGGAAGCACGGCAGGTAGCCCTTTGCTGTGGTCCTGGCCTAGGGGTCGTGAACTGTCATATTCCTTCGTACACCGTCTGATTGTGCACCGATATTACATCAATTTTACCCATATTACTACCATGATATATCGATATTGCTCTTATGATTGTCGGTAGTACAGCAATATGACAGTTATTGTATCACGTCAATATTGCAATATTATATTACTGCAATA